GGGAAAGGTGGTGGATGACCCTGCCTCTCACCAAAGGAGAAGGTCTGAGATCAGTCATTAATGGGAAAGGTGGTGGATGACCCTGCCTCTCACCAAAGGAGAGGGTCTGAGATCAGTCATTAATGGGAAAGGTGGTGGATGACCCTGCCTCTCACTAAAGGAGAAGGTCTGAGATCAGTCATTAATGGGAAAGGTGGTGGATGACCCTGCCTCTCACCAAAGGAGAAGGTCTGAGATCAGTCATTAATGGGAAAGGTGGTGGATGACCCTGCCTCTCACTAAAGGAGAAGGTCTGAGATCAGTCATTAATGGGAAAGGTGGTGGATGACCCTGCCTCTCACCAAAGGAGAAGGTCTGAGATCAGTCATTAATGGGAAAGGTGGTGGATGACCCTGCCTCTCACCAAAGGAGAAGGTCTGAGATCAGTTATTAATGGGAAAGGTGGTGGATGACCCTGCCTCTCACTAAAGGAGAAGGTCTGAGATCAGTCATTAATGGGAAAGGTGGTGGATGACCCTGCCTCTCACCAAAGGAGAGGGTCTGAGATCAGTCATTAATGGGAAAGGTGGTGGATGACCCTGCCTCTCACCAAAGGAGAGGGTCTGAGATCAGTCATTAATGGGAAAGGTGGTGGATGACCCTGCCTCTCACCAAAGGAGAAGGTCTGAGATCAGTCATTAATGGAAAGGTGGTGGATGACCCTGCCTCTCACCAAAGGAGAAGGTCTGAGATCAGTTATTAATGGGAAAGGTGGTGGATGACCCTGCCTCTCACTAAAGGAGAAGGAAGGTCTGAGATCAGTCATTAATGGGAAAGGTGGTGGATGACCCTGCCTCTCACCAAAGGAGAGGGTCTGAGATCAGTCATTAATGGGAAAGGTGGTGGATGACCCTGCCTCTCACCAAAGGAGAGGGTCTGAGATCAGTCATTAATGGGAAAGGTGGTGGATGACTGACCCTGCCTCTCACTAAAGGAGAGGGTCTGAGATCAGTCATTAATGGGAAAGGTGGTGGATGACCCTGCCTCTCACTAAAGGGGATAGGAATGAGGAGAAAGACCCCCATCTCTCACTGTAGGCATGCTGTGAGACCAGCCAGTAATAGGAGTTTGATATGCCTATCCCTCACTATAAAAGGGGTCTGAGTTCAGCCAATGGCTCAATAAAACTTACTACACCATATGAGCTTTTTTGTTTGGTGGCTTATTCCTGGAGCTACTTAACCACTTCCCGACCGGCCGTTGCATATAAACGGACGGACGGTGGCAGTGCAGGGTCGGGTGGCCGTTTATAAACGGCCTCCCCGCACCCTGCTTGTGCACGCTCCCTGGGAGCGCGCAGCACCGCGATCCGGTGCCCGCTGTGTCCTCCGGACAAAGTGAAACACCGATCGTCGGACGGGACCTCTGTACGAGGTCCCGATCATGTGATCACTGATTGGCCAATCAGTGATCACATGCAAAGTAGTAAGCAAGATGTCACTTGTGACATCATTGCTTACTACGTGTGAAATCTGTGAATGATCACAGAGGTCACATGGTACAAGGCTATTCACAACAGCCTTTTACCATGTGACAAGCTGTGACCAATCACAGCTCACACAGTAGTTCTCAATGAGTGCAAGAATGCCCACAGAGAGAAAGAGAAATGATTGGTTTTACATCCTATATGGGTGTAAAAGCAATCAGTGTAAAAAAAAAAAAAAAAAAAATCTTCATCACCCCTCACCATGGTGACACTGTACTGCTAGGGTGACAGTATGTAAAAAAAAAAAAATAAAAAATAATAATATAAAAAATAAAATAAAAATGTAAAAAAAATGTTTAAAAATTATAATTTTTGGTTATAAACTAATTTGTTTTTTTTTTTTTTTACTAAAAAGATAATGGAATAAATTTTGGCAAAGATTTATGATGAAAATATTATTTATTTGCAAAATTTTTATAAAAAAAAACACTTTTGTTCAAAATTTTTGGACTTTTTCATTTACATAGCAAAAAAAATAAAAATCCCAGCGGTGAATAAATACCACCAAAATAAAGCTTTATCTGTCTCAAAAAAATTGTAAAAAATTAGTTTGGGTACAGTGTTGCATGACCGCGCAATTGTCATTCAAAGTGTGATAGCGCTGAAAGCTGAAAATTGCCCTGGACAGGAAGATGTAAAAGTGTCCGGACAGGAAGTGGTTAACTTCTTGCCGACCGCGCATAGCCGAATGACGGCTTCACCGCGGCGGCCGGCCAGTTCTGAGTGGACGTCATATGACGTCCTCCCAGAACGCGCTCTCCTGCGCGCCCCAGGGGGCGTGCACCCGGCGATCTCCGTGATCGCGGTGTCCTACGGACACAGCTGATCACGTGATGTGGTGAAAGGCCGATCCCACCGGCCTTTTACCACGTGATCAGCGGTGTCCAATGACACGCTGATCACAGGGAAATGCAAGTGCCGGTTCTCGGCTGCACTTTCCTCACGCTGTCAGATCGTGAGGAAAGTACTGCCGAGAACCGGCAGTTGTCAGAGCGGGGATCGGCACCGATCATCAGGGCACTGATGATCAGTGCCCTGATGATCGGTGCCCAGCAGTGACACCCGCAAGTTCCGCCCAGCAGTGCGCCCACTAGCCCCGCCCACCCGTTCCCAGCAGTGCCCCCACCTGTGCCCAGCAGTGCCCCCACCTGTGCCCAGCAGTGCACCCACCTGTGCCACTCTGCAGTGCCACCTACCTGTGCCCAGAAGTGCCACCTACATGTACCCACCCACCTGTGCCCACCCACCTGTGCCCACCAGTGCCACCCACCTGTGCCCACCAGTGCCACCCACCTGTGCCCACCCACCAGTGCCGCCCACCAGTGCCACCCACCAGTGCTGCCCAGCAGTGCTGCCAGTCAGTGCCACCAGTCAGTGCCCAGGGGTTGTGCCAGTCAGTGCCGCCAGTCAGTGCCCAGAAGTGATGCCAGTCAGTGCCGTCTATCAGTACCCATCATCAGTGTCACCTATCAGTGCCGCCTATCAGTGCTGCATATCAGTGCCGCCTATCCGTGACCCCTAATTAGTGCTGTCTATCAGTGCCGCCTATCCGTGCCACCTCATTAGTACTGCCTATCAGTGCCCTTTAGTGCTGCCTATCAGTGCCCATCAGTGCCCTATCAGTGCCCATCAGTGCCGCCTCATCAACGCAAATCAGTGAAGAGAAAAAAATACCTGTTTGAAAAATTTTTAAAAGAAACAAATAAACTTTTTTTTTTTTTTTTTCAAATTTTTTGCACTTTTTTTTAATTTATAGCGCAAAAAGTAAAGCGCCCAGTTCCTAGATGACCACTAGTGCCCCACTGAGTGTCATATAAATGCGCAATTGAACTGTGAATCTGGGTGAGTGCAAGCTCATCTCTTTTCTAATCCACAGAAGTCACAAGCACCTTATGAATGCAACCTCAGTGAGAATGAACCACTATTTCCACGCATTGGATGTCTCATAGGCGCTTAAAAGGAAAAGTTGTCTTTCCTTGGACTGCTATATGTTTATATTGTGCGTTTACTTTTATCGTTATTAGATTGATTTAGGATTACGCACTATTGCACTTTATTGCGCTTATCTATAGCGCTCTTATTCGTTTCTATGCGTTTATATGAGATTTATATATTTTATTTATATGAGATTTATATATTTTATTTATATGAGATTTATATATTTTATTTATATGAGATTTATTGAAATTTATATTGGATTTAGCGCTGCATTTTTTGATTTTCATAGGTAGGGATGCACCTGTACTGTTTTGTTATCAGCAAGTACGAGTACCGATACTTTTGGCCAAGTACTCGCTGATACCGATACTTTGCGGTGCAATTTGCATTAATGGATGCAAACTGCACCTCAAAGAATAGTATGCGATTCGAACATCCCCGCTGCTTTCTTACCTCTCTTTGCAGGGATGACAGTTTGGGCTAGAGGACTTTTGATTGGTCAGCAGCACCGTCACATGGATGGTGCTGACTAATCAGAGGCCATCTAGCCCAAACTGTCATCGCTGCATGGAGAGGAGAGAAAGCCGCTTCACAGATCTGGGGATTTTAAATCCCTACGGCTTTCTCTCCTCTCATTGCAGCGATGACAGTACGGTCTAGACGGCATCTGATTGGTCAGTACCATCCATGTGACGGTGCTGACCAATCAACAGCCCTCTAGCCCGAACTGTCATCCCTGCAAAGAGAGGAAAGAAAGTGGCAGGGATTTGAAATCCCTGTTGCTTTCTCCCCTCGCTATCACTGAGACTCAGCATGGGATGCCTGCAAGGAGGTTCCCCGCACTGTTTCTGTGTGTGAACTCGGACTATGACAAGCCTGGGTTCACACAGGAGCAGCGGGGAAACTGCATGTGATTTGGGCAAGAATCGCATTTCTGTTCAAATTGCTTCCTAATCTTTGCGGTGCAGTTTGCATCCATTACCCCAAATCGCACCGCAAAGTATCTGTTAAGGTATCTGGAGTATTTTCACAAGTACTCATGAAAATGCTTTGTATCGGCACCCGTGCATCCCTATTATTAAGCAAAGATACCTGGGAGATGATTGCAGATGCAATGTCCGTTCTGTTTTTTACAGTACTTCGACCAGTCTGGGATCCAACTACTAACTGACAAAATTATAATACAATAAAACTTGCCTAATAGTCTCTGCTTCTAGTCTGAATAGACTACAACAACAGCAGCTCCTGCATGGATGGTCATATAGTCCAATTCTGTAAATCCTTCCTTCCTGAACAGTACCCTTTATAAAGAAATCAGAGTCCTCCAATTGAGGTTTCCTACCCAGCTAGCAGGTACAGGATGTACCTTTCTATACCAATTAACTCTGATATTACTTTACCAAGTAAATGCTTTTTAGAAATATAAACATTAGAGGGAAGCAGTGCCTAAACATGTGCCAATTCCCACTTGGGGCAACCCGCCTATTAACCCCTTACATCCGTATCTAATAATATGCAACCAATACAATCCAGATAATTTTCCATTTACAGAAAACCTGCATAGAGTACATCAATGAGGATGGAGGAGGACCAGAGTCACATGACTGAGAAGATGCTAAACCTCATCCTGGAGACCATCTACCTGCTGACTGGAGAGGTGAGGATTCTGGGAAGTCACATGACATCACTCATATCTCCATTAATAAAACACATACCTGACCAGAGAGGTGAGTAGGATTCTGGGAGGTCACATGACATCACTCTCATCTCTATTAATAAAACACAGCCCTGACCGGAGAGGTGAGGAGGATTCTGGGAGATCACATGACATCACCCTTATCTCTATTAATAAAACACAGACCTGACTGGAGAGGTGAGGAGGATTCTGGGAGGTCACATGACATCACTCTTATCTCTATTAATAAAAACAGACCTGACCGAAGAGGTGAGGAGGATTCTGGGTGGTCACATGACATCACTCCTATCTCTATTAATAAAACAGACCTGACCGGAGAGGTGAGGAGGATTCTGGGAGGTCACATGACATCACTCTTATCTCTATTAATAAAACAGACCTGACCGGAGAGGTGAGGAGGATTCTGGGAATGTGACATATTATTTCTGTTGTTGAATACAGAGTTTTCCTCCTGTGAAGTCTGGAGATCAACTGACCATCACAGTACCTCCACTTTACTCCCTGAAAGCTGAAATAAACAGCAAAAAGAAGATTCTAGAAGTTACCCAGAAGATGATGGAGCTGCTGACAGGAGAGGTGAGCGGTGCCGGGAATTCTTTGACATTCTCCAGTAACAGACAAGGGATGTGTCTGGATGGTGACTGTATCATTGTGTGTGTGTCAGGTTCCTATAAGGTGTCAGGGTGTCACTGTCTATTTCTCCATGGAGGAGTGGGAGTATTTAGAAGGACACAAGGATCTCTACAAGGACGTCATGATGGACAATCAGCCGCCCCTCACATCACCGGGTAAGAGGAGACTTTATTGTAAAGGAGAGAGCAGTACGGAGGATCCACCTAGATCCCCCATCATCTGATAAACACATAGAAACAATGGATTCAGTCAGTGTGTGTGTTTCCTACAGATGGATCCAGTCATGGGAACCCACCAGAGAGATGTCCCCGTCCTCTGTATTCCCGGGATTCCTCACAGGAAGGTCACACCATCCCTCACCATCATCAGGTAGATGGATCCAGTCATGGGAACCCACCAAAGAGATGTCCCCGTCCTCTGTATTCCCAGGATTCCACACAGGATGGTCACATCATCCCTCACCATCATCAGGTCGATGGATCCAGTAATGGGAACCCACCAGAGAGATGTCCCCGTCCTCTGTATTCCCAGGATTCCACACAGGAAGGTCACATCATCCCTCACCATCATCAGGTCGATGGATCCAGTAATGGGAACCCACCAGAGAGATGTCCCTATCCTCTGTATTCACAGGATTCCACACAGGAAGATCACACCATCCCTCACCATCACCAGGTTGGTGGAGTTGAGGGTCTGGAACATAAAGTGATGGAACACTCTGACATGTGGAGACGATGTGTGGACTCTACAAGATGATATTTTCTATGTGATCTCACATCATAAATCCTTCTATATTACAGATGTTATTTCTGCCATTCTGTTGGTTTAGGGTGAAGATCTGATGAAGATGAAAGTTGAGGGTGAAGTAGAAGAGACGTATGTGAGGGATGATCAGCAATATATGGAGGAGGCTGGAATGATGAGGACATTCAAAGAGGAGGACACTCCTACAGAGATCAGCACAGGTGAGCCACAATATATTCTTTTGTTATCTCTGCTCTGTTACTGCACACTGATTGGTCCAGAGTAGGGCAGGAGATGAGTGATATCAGCCAATAATGTCTGATAATAGTCACTGATACCCGTCCTGCATATTATTTGTTACTCTTAGATAAACCCCCTTCTCTGTGCTGCAGACACAACATATGTACTCAGACATGATTTATATAGATTCTGTGGGTCAGCTGGCATTTTTAGGCACAGCAATACAAATTGAGCTTTTCAGAGGTTTGTCCCTCTTCTTTTAGCAGACTTAAACCTAAATGTTAACATAAAACTCAATTAAAGGTAATCCAGGTATAGTATATTATTGCATAGCTAGATTGGAGCAAGCTGGACTAATATATTGTAACTATGTATAATATACAATGCCTGGAATCCTTCTTTAACAGTCTTGCTGGGATGAAAAGTAATAGGAGCCAGGGAGTCATTACTGCTTGGCCCTTGGGGTCTGGTATAGATTTTAAGGGTGACCCCAAAAACAAACTGGTGTGGGGTCCTCCAAATTTCTAGAAAACCATTGAGTCTGGTTTGGATTCTAAGGGGGGACCTATGTAAAATGCAAAAAAAACCACATAGGTTCCTCCCAACATCCATATCAGAGCTTTATCGGAGTATGCAGCCTGGCTAGCCCAGAAAGGGGGTTTTGAGCATTTGCCCCCCACCTGTACCATATAAGGCTACATGCCCTCAACATGAGGAGTGTACCTTGCCAGTGGGAGCCCTCTGGAAAAGCACCCTGTCCCCATGTATATAAGGAGAAGGGCCTCTTCCCCACAACCCTGGCCCATTTGGTTTTTGGGTTCTGCAGGTGGGGGGGGCTTGTTGGAATCTGGAAGCCCCTTTTAAAAATGAGGGTAGTTCCTAGAAACTGCCCCCACAATGAGTACCCCGAATGTTAAAGCGGAGTTCCACCCAAAAGGGAAAGTTCAACCTTAAAGACTGGTGCTCAGCTCCCCTTTAAGGATTGGCACCTTTAGGGAGTGCGGTGGGGGGAGCGGGTACCCAAAATTGACAGGTACCCCCCCTCTCACTTTCTAGGTGATCAGAAACAGAAGTTGTCCTCCTACGCTCCCTCACTGTAGCCTTCTGGGACATGTGACAGGTCCCAGAAGACTACGGGGCCATTTAGAAAGTGCAGCGCTACTCACGCATGAGCAGTGGGCACCCGGATGTGAAGCCGAAAGCAGACCCACGTCCCATGATGTACAACTGTTGTCAATCATCTCATCCAGTGATACATATCCACATCAATCACAGTTAATGAAAGATGGATATCTGGGGTCTTCTTACTGTCTTGGAAATTCGCTTTTAACGAATTTCTCCTTACCGTGAGTACTCGCAGTTGGATGCACAGCAATCCCCCATAAAGCTGTGTGAATCTCGCTTACCGCGACTGCAGCTAAACTCCACTATTCCTGCGCCTCCAACTGGTCTAGCTCTGTTGAGATGGGAAAATGGAGCTCCCGTTACCTAGGAATGATCACACGACACTCTCAGGTTGCTGTTGGAATTCACATAGCGACCGTTTCCATCCTCAACCTCCGGTTTTGTTACAAGCACACACATGCCCCCCACATGAGTCAGGTCAATCCCCTCCCACAGAACAATGCATGGGGAGTGTCTATACACAGAATGTACATCCTGATTGGAGCGTAGCCTTTCCTTTTATCTATACTGGAAACCAGTTCTCCCCTCCCCCTTTCCCATGGTGAGCTCTCTGAGGAGAGTAAACTTCCCCCTATCCTATCAGCTCCTAGCAGTTTGTCCATTCTCTGTACAAGCATCCCTTAGATTAAACAGTGTCAGTCTGTATCTGAATGGGCCCGATACGATCTTTATTAAAACACATCCATCCAGATACAGTTTCAGGTTGGTAATGGCTTGTAAGATATACATGAGCCTACACACGGAGTTTGCACTGCCTGGCGCCTGGCGATACGAAGTCCATGTAGTACTATGCTGCTGATATGTGGATACAGGCCCGTGGCCTACCGCCGGCGGCATTCGCATCGAATGCCGTGGTGGTATACACGCCGGTCTATAAGCGCAGATCTGCCATCTCATCCATTACTGAGCTGAGTACTGTAATACATACATTGTACATGCGCATGGCCCAATTGCAGCCTTCAGAGCTTTAATTAAGCCACACGAGAGACATATGAATAACACTCATATATGACACATTTAAAGTTCAACCTGTGAATACAAAATTTCCATGACATTACTTTAAAGGTGGCTTCCAGGTCCTAATAAGCTCCTCACCCACAGACCCCAACAATTACCAGTCCAATGTTGTGGGAAAAGTCCTTTGTCCTCATCAAGATGGAGACGAGGTGTTTTACCAGGGTACCCCTTGTGTTGAGGGCATGTGGTATGGTATGGTTCAGGAGCGGAGTTCAACATTCCTAGCCTTCCAGGCTGAATATTTAGAAAAGGATCTGTTATAGATTTTATGGGGACCTCGCAATTGTTTTTTTTTTTTTTTTTTTGCATGGGGTTTCCACTTCAAATCCATACTATACCTTAAGGATCTCCTATAACTATTGGGGGGACCCCACAACATTACCTTTTTTTTTATCCCTGCCCCTTGGTTTACATTCACCTGTCAGCGAACATCATCCATTTAGTTAGGCCATTTGCCTATCAAGTACTTGGTGGAGACTGGAATGTTGTGCTCCTCCTGCCCAACACTCCTGAAGGTGGAGACAGAGTGTGTGGGCATGGAGTGACAGGAGAGCCAGAGTAGCTGCCTGGTGGTATCCACTCTTTAGGTGAGTAGACCTGGAAGTCACAGTCCTTAGGACAGGATGCAGAAGCAGCTTGGCACCAGAGCAGGAGGTGGTAGTGGGAGCTGGGAAGCAGGCGGAAGACAACAGCCGGGTAATGGGGGGACGAATCAGCAAGGTCAGTAACAGCCAAAGTACAGAATCAGCAAGGAAAGGAGAGTCCAGTAAACAGGCTGAGGTCAAGGGAAACCAGATGAGCAGGTTTTGAGGCAGCAGGCAAAAGCAAAGCCATGGGTAGGCAAATATAGTGGATCAAGTTTCAGGAACAAGCTGGAGACCATTCAGCAACTTCTCACAGTCACAGATCAGTTTAAATAGGCCGCTGGGATCCAAGTGTACACGCTGCTGCTGTGTGCTGTGTGTCAGTATTTATGTGGTGAACGCTCAGCGATATTACCCAACGTCCAAAAAAGCAACCTCTTTCCAGGAATCTATACCCATCCCTATTTATTCATCCCTATTTATATAGATTCTGGGATTCATCTGGCAGTGTTAGGCTGTGTTTTTCATCTAGTTACAGTAGCATTGATGTGATAACACATATTGTGCATTACAGGGCCGGTACAAGGGGAGGGCTAAGCAAACACCTTTCCCGGGTGCTGTGTTAAGGAAGAGGGGGTGCTGCAGAGTTGGCTGCTCCTGCTGCTGACTGACAGCTGTGACTGCAGTGGCACTCCTGTCAGAGCAGCAGCCGAAAGCTGCTGCTGGAGGGAGGATTTGGCTTTCTCCCCTCCTCCAGTTCTGCTGAGACATAGAACTCTTCGCAGTCTCAGCCCCGCGCTGCTGAGGAAGTAGGGCAGACTGTGTCCTTTTTCTCTCTCCCCCTGTGTTGTGACATGTCACATGACTTGAGAGGAAGGGGACACTGCCTTCATTACAGTGAGTACCAATCTGCCAGTACAAGGGGGAAAGAAGGGGAAACAACTCATAAGTATGGACCCCTGATGTAAAGGGGGACTCTATTGGGGACACCTGATGAAAAGAGAGACTCTACTGGGGACACCTGATACCAAGGGGACTCTACTGGGGACACCTGATACCAAGGGGACTCTACTGAGTACCGATCTGCCAGTACAAGGGGGAAAGAGGGGGCAACAACTCATAAGTATGTACCCCTGATGTAAAGGGGGACTCTATTGGGGACACCTGATGAATAGAGAGACTCTACTGGGGACACCTGATACCAAGGGGACTCTACTGGGGACACCTGATACCAAGGGGACTCTACTGGGGACACCTGATACCAAGGGGACTCTACTGGGGACACCTGATACCAAGGGGACTCTACTGGGGACACCTGATACCAAGGGGACTCTACTGGGGACACCTGATACCAAGGGGACTCTACTGGGGACACCTGGTACCAAGGGGACTCTACTGGGGACACTGGTACCAAGGGGACTCTACTGGGGACACCTGATACCAAGGGGACTTTACTGGGTACACCTGATACCAAGGGGACTTTACTGGGTACACACTGGTACCAAGGGGACTCTACTGGGGACACCTGGTACCAAGGGGACTCTACTGGGGACACCTGGTACCAAGGGGACTCTACTGGGGACACCTGGTACCAAGGGGACTCTACTGGGGACACCTGATACCAAGGGGACTCTACTGGAGACACCTGATGTAAAGGAGAACTCTGTTGAGGATACCTGATGTAAAGGTGGACTCTATTGGGCATGCCTGATGTAAAGCGGAACTCTACTGGAGATGACACCTGTTGGGGGTGGGGTGCAATTCGCCATCTTTGCCATGGGCACTGGATGACCTTGTTCTGGCACTTGTGCCTCGGTCCCTCTTGTTCGAGCAGACTTGTGGCTGAAGGATAACAATTAGTAGGACAGGCGTACAAAGCTGGGTGTTTATAACAGGAGGTTGTAAATCAGGAGACATCACATGGGAGAAGGTTCATGCATATTCCCGAGAGTGGGTTGTGGAGATTAGAGAGCAAACCCCAGACCTCCTGAGATGAAGATGAGAATACCTGATCTGCTTTGTTTCAAATGCAAGATCAAAGAGCAAGTTGGTGCTGAAATGTTGACCAGGGTCAAGGAATTTGCTTGCAGTGGGACAATTTCATCTTCAACAAAATATCAAGGATGATGGCAAAATCCCGGAGATTTGTTGGTATTTTATCGATTGGACAGAGGACGATCATTCGGCGAGTGGGGGTGCCGATGTGAGTGGTGGTTGTGTGTGTTCTAAAATGCAGAGTCAGGCTATTTCTCTCTCTTTTTTCCATGGAGCCCAGCAAAAGTACAAAATTTGAGGATGGACTTGCGTAACTTATCATCTGTTTTTTTTTCTATTCTTTTACATTTCTATGTTAGTGTTTTGCTTTCTTTGTAAACAGGGGTGGACTGACCATTTGGAAACTCAGGCACTGCCCGAGGGCCCGGGGTCAGTAGGGGGCCCCATGAGATGCCCCTGGTACCTTTTTTCATAGGCTTTTTTGAGTTTGGGCAAGGACACAGGGGCCCCATGATCCCCTATTGCCCGGGGGCCCTATGAGTTGTCATTCCGCCCCTGTCTGTAAATATATGACCTTCACGTCTTTGGGCATTGCGTATATTATTATGAATATCATTATTCATATTATCACTATTAATATGATCAGAGTTCTAACAGAAAAGCACATTATAGGAAAATATGAGATATTAATATTTTAAACAGGAAGAAACATCCCCAGATATTTTAAACAGAAAATACTTCTCCAACACCCTCCAGTGCTGCTTATCACCAGAAGCCTAGGCCTATGGTCACTTATTTTATGCTAAAGGGTTCTACCAGTCTGAATTTTCACATCTTGATTATCAGAGATCACCTGACCCAGTGCCTAGGCTTGTGATTATATAAAGAGCATGCACCTCCCAGTCCCCATTGGTTCCTGCTCTCAAGGCTTTGTAAATGTAGATGTGATCTGGGAAGAGGACCCTTTGATTGAAGTAGGGAAAGGTCCCATCTGGTTGGAACATCCACAGAGAGCATCTGCTCACTCAAGTCTACCTGATCCAGATAGAATCATGATTTAAGAGAACAAACCCTCTCATGTCTTTATATTTTCCAGGACACTCCATCGAGGAACCCTCAAAGGATCGTCTCACTTTATCTCCAGGTTGTAAAATGGAAGATGAGGACATCACAAGAGATTGTGTCGGAGAAAACACGATGAGCTCGGCTATCGGTGGTGCTCTTCTCAGTGTAGATAGACTATGGAATCCCTCTGACTTTGAGCAACATTTGAGGGATGGTGTCAAAATTCAGAGGGAAGAAAAGTTTTCCTGTTCTGAATGTGGGGAAAGTTTCAGCTCTGAATTAAGTCTTTCTGTACATCAGAGATCTCAAATGTGTGAGAAGCTTCATTCCTGCTCTGAATGTGGGGAATGTTTCCTTCCTAAATCAGAACTCATCGTACATTGCAGAGCTCACATGGGCAAGAGGTCAAATTCCTGGCCAGAGTGTGGGAAATGTTTTACACGGAAATCATTCCTTGTTGGACAACTGAGATCTCACACGGGGGATAAGCCATATTCCTGTCCTGAGTGTGGGAAATGTTTTATTCAGATATCAAATCTTCTTAGACATCAGAGATTTCACACAGAAAAGCCGTATTCCTTCCCCGAGTTCACAAATTGTTTTTCACAGAATAAAAGCCTTGTTGGACATCAGGGATTGCATACAGGGGAGAAGCCACATTCTTGCCCTGAATGTGGGAAATGTTTTACACGGAATTCAAACCTTGTTAGACATCAGATATTGCACACAAGCAAGAAGCCGTATTCTTGCCCTGAGTGCGAGAAATGTTATTCACAGAAAATACACCTTGTTCTCCATCTGAGATCTCACACAGGAGAGAGGCCGTATTCTTGCCCTGAGTGCCGGAAATGTTATTCACGGAAACAACACCTTGTTAGACATTTGAGAACTCACACAGGGGAGAAGCCGTATTTTTGCCCTGAGTGCGGGAAATGTTTTTCAAGGAACTCTCACCTTGTTAGACATCAGAGATCTCACAGAGGGGTGCAGGGATGAGTCAAACATTTCTGAGTTCAGTTTCTGGGAGGTTTTGAATGTTAATCCGAACTTCATTGACATCAATGGGAGCAGAATCTTTCAAATCAATTCAGGCCATTTTTAAGGCTAATATGTGGGCTGGCTCCGGTTTCACTAGCTGTAAGCCCACACGGTTCTCGGGCTATGCCATACAGGGGGCGGGGGGTCACTCACCCTATACATGAGGTACCTTCTGTGTGTTCACGCTCTCACCACCAATGCCCAGGCTGTGTTCAGATGAAATTGACCTTAAGGCAGCCCATGACCCCCAATGTAGAGAAGAGTCGTCCACAGCGTGTAGCAATTAACTGTACAGAATCCCTCTGCATCTTAGAGGGACACTGCTGAGCCTGTGCCCTCTCCACACATCCAGCTTACCTCTGTCACCTGACTCCCAGTGACAGAATGGGGCCCCCGCTGAGCACCTTGTGTTGACCTCATGCCTGCTTTTCCTTAACTGCTGGATATTTTTCTCTCTCCCATACCATGTGGTTAGGCTGAGGGTCTCCATACTGCAGGTTTGGTCCTGGTTGCTATGGGGAATCCGACTGCTGGTGAGGGAGCCAGAACACTGACCCCCTCGCTACCGGAGGCAACCTGGCTACAAATATATAAAGGATTTTCAAAGGGCATGGACAGCTGGGCACTGCCCTGAAAGATACCTAGATATATACCAGAAAACTGTAGACCAGTTAGCCTAACATCAATAGTATGTAAAGGTATTTGAGGGAATGGTAAAGGACTCCATACAGAAGTTTGTCTGTGATAAAGGTATCATAACTGACATGAAAAACTTCTTGTCAGACCAACATGTTATCATTCTATAAGGTGAGAAATTGGATAGTTTAAGTCCAGTGGATGGAATTTATCTAGATTTTGTACCTTGTGAATGTTTACTGTAGAAAATAAGGTCTGTTGGAGTTGATGAAATTGGATGTACATCGATAGGAAACTGGTTACATGAACGAGTCCAGAGAGTATTGATAAATGAATCGTCTCCTATGGAGATTTTTAGGTCTGTATTTGGTGTCACTCCATGGACGTATGCAGTTTTAAAGCATGACATGTTTGGTATCTATTTACTTAGCTTAACATCTTTATAGTTGACTAATCAATTGGGTATTATATTGTGTTTGTGTTCACTAAAAATGTATGTTTTTTTTTTTTTAAATTGCGTTCGAAAAACTGCTGAACAAATACTGTGTGGCATAAAATAAACACCCACCATTTTATCCTATGGGGCCTCTGCATATATATTTGTAATGTTTGGGGGTTCTAAGAAATCTTCTAGCAAAAAGATTTTTTTTTCATGTATGTAGCACCCTCCTAGTTAGTTAGGGGGAGCTAGAATCCTGATTGGGTCAGGAGCTGAGAGGCTCTGCAGACCAGCCCTCTGGAATTTCCTCCTATTCTAGGCCTTTGGAGAAATGTCTAGAAGCAGTGGGTGGACCTGAGGAGTGACATGCCTGAACTCGTGAAAAATCCTGGCCAATCCCCAACAGGTGACTTGGAAAGGGACAGGGACAACGTTTAAGAGTTTCTGAGGCTGCTCAGCTGCAGGAGAGTTCGGGTGGAAGACAGTGAGGAAGATGTGAAACTGAAGGCAGGAGTTTGGGAGGGGGCCCAGATGGAGAGAGGAGCTCACCTACAGGCAGTAGAGCTGGAAAGGAGGAAAGCTCAGTACTTCACCAGCCCCCTGAGAGAGTACCCAGCTAAAAGGCCTGGTAGCAGCCACCAACCCATCAGCAGTACAGGAGAGGACCTGAGTGAGCACCCCTGCACCACCTGGGTGGATAGGGGAAGGAGCACTCTGGTGGGAAACCAGATTCGCTGCCTACTTGGGATTGTCCATTTCTTAAAGTAACAGGCACCAGATCCCCTGTTCAGGGATACCCCCAGATTGCAGGGTGAAGGAAGAGGAGATCATCTAGGATCTGGGGCAGTACATTAAAGAGACGCTGGCTGGCTCTCCTACAGAGACTGTGTTGCAGTGGAGGCTTGTAAATAATTCCAGGAATTGTCCTCAGTTCATCAGTTCTATTGGAGATCCTGTATACCCCTAACCCTATCCCAGTTCAAATCCCCTAAATAAAATCACAAAACCAAAGCTTAATGACTGATATCTGACTCTGGATGCAAGCCTGTGAGAAGATGTGTGTTGTCTGGCTGTTAAACTGTGAAGGACTAAAGGGGGACCCAAATCTTAAGCAACTCCTAAGGGGGGTAGTGCTACATGTAGGAGAGAAATGTCAGCATTAACGTGGGAGGCAAGCGGTTAATGATATAGATGTTGAAGTCAAGAGCTCAATTGCAGTGTTTGCTGATGATACCAAATTATGCCAGGAAATGGCATCATTACAGGAAGACCTTGATAACATAGGGGGCTGGGCAACTACATGGCAGGTAAGGTGCAATATTGAGAAATACAGAGTTATGCACTTGGGTGCCACAAATACACATTAGGAGGGGCTCCCCTTGAAGAATTGGTGATAGAAAAGGATCTGGGGTGCCTGTAGATCACAGACTTATCAATGACATGCAATGTCAAGCCACAGCTAGTAAAGCCAGCAGACTAATGAGGTAATAAGGACAGTATTTCTACCCCTTTACAAAACATCCTCATCTTGAATATGTAGTTCAGTATTGGCCACCAATCCTGAGGAAAGTCGTTGTGCTTTTTATGAATGATGAATTATTAATAATTCACCCAGCAGTATTTCCAAAAATATGTTCTACGAGGTAACGCCTGGACAATTAATTCAGTCAGCTAAAGGTGCTAGCAAATATTGCAATAATTTATAAAGTAATTTAACTGAATTAATAATTCTGAGTAATTTAGAGCCAACCAAAATCCTTTAAAACACAGTTCAGATCAGTGTAATTATGGACTACAAATTATGAAATAAATTATTATTTTTTTACAATAAGTCACATACAAACACGTAATAGCTCGATTGTGAAGCACATAGACACCAAGATAATTTGCATAAACTTTACAAAATTTTCCGTATCACTAGTTTATGTATAGATATATTGTGACGGAGGGTAGGCAGGACAGAACACACAAGGCAGATGGCAAACACTTAAAGCTTTATTAAAACAGACAACAGTCACTCAATGGGAAGTAGTGCAGAGAGAGAGCCCAAAATACTTTGTAATTCAGCCCCGGTGGGCAAAGTTAAAGTCTCTACAGCAGTTTGTAATCAAACAGGGAGATAAGCGCCAGGTCATAAACAGGTCAGATAACACAGAAGAACTTTGTAGTCCAACCCCGGTGGGCAGAGTTAAAGTCTCTACAGCACTTTGTAATCCAACAGAGAGGTAAGAGGCAGTTCATAAACAGGTCAGATAACATAGGAGAAGCATACACTCACGCAGAGCTGATGTGATAGTCCCAGATAGAGCTGGGCAGCGTCTCAGGCAGAGCTGGTGTGTGGTAAGCTCAGGCAGAGCTGATGTGGCTTCTGGGGTCCCCCTTCCTCCAATGGGGCTCAGGCAGAGCCTGGGCCACTAGAGTCCAGCCGCAGCTGGACCACTCAGTGGCTGCACAGCAGAATGGCTCAGGAGAGACCAGCACTGACCTCTTAAACCCCCTGAGATGGACGTGAGGTGGAGGGGGGTCATTAGCAGGATGACAATGGAGGGACTGCCTTAATTGAGTTTAGGGACATTTTGGATGACAATGGAGAGAATGGACAAGAACAGAAATTGAATTTGTAGCTGTAAACAGGAGGACAGTGGGGAGGATATTATATTTAGGCAAAAGACTGGTTGGACAGGATGGACAAGGAAACACAATAATTGAATTTGCAGCTGTAAACAGGATAACAGTGGGGAGAATACATTAATACAAAAGTAAGGCACTAATTAGGGATGTAGGACATCTGGGCACAAGACAGGATGGACAAGGAAACACAATAATTGGATTTGCAGCTATAAACAGGATAACAATGGGGAGGATACACTAATTGAATTTGGGACCTTTTGTGGAGGAGGCGCGTTAATTACAGCTAGGGGCCTTTGGCACAGGGAGTAGAATACTAATTGGAGGATGCTCTTCCTATGGCCAGGAGGGATTAAAGGAACAAGGAATTAATAACTGGGCTGGCAGAGAACTCGTGACACTCCGGATCATTAATCAGGAATTAATAATTGGCCGGGCCCCTATACCGTGACATATATAGGATGCATAAAATCAATAATGAATTTCTCCCCATAGAAAAAATAACCATTAATATATAACTATCAGACGTTTTATGGACTTTCAGTGGTTACACCCCTGCAGAAGGAATAAGCATCAAAATACGCAAAACCGTATGCCAATATAGCCCAAGGACAAAGTAAAATAAGAATAATACTACTACTAAAACTAAACTATATAAAGGTGGGGTAACATAAATGTGAGATTCGGGTAGTTGAGATGTGGTGTGATCAGTAGAAATATGTAATTGTAGATCTAGTTTCATTCCATTTTATTACAGATCAGTGTTCAGTATTTAGTCAGAGACATATGTTCAATTAGCATCTGAAAGGACAGAGCAGCTTCTAGGCTGGAGGTGACACCTAGACCCAAATAAAACGTTGTCACCTATGTAGCCAGACTTTGCCACCTTCTTGAACCTAAAAGAAGAATCCTAGTCATTTTTGGCTACAAGAGTCAGCTGAAGAAGGCTCCAAAATGTCTGCCAGCTCTGATTTATATCCACAGATCATAAGAATCTGTTTCATCTTTCATAAAAGCTAAAATATTAGTTGCGGAGAAATGAAAATAATTCCTGCTGATTGGACACACTTTAGGCTCCATAAATCTTGGTAAAAGTTTTATTTCTGGTTTTATTCCCTTTTTATTTCATAGTGACAGATAGACAATTGTAGTGTCTGTTGTCTTTCTTGTAATTCCTTTTTTCTGTTGTACTCAATATTTTATTGCTTCGCCCACTTTTGAGGATATTAAGCGTCAT